GTGTAAGAAATTAGAGTTTAACTATTTTAATTAGCTATTTTTAGAAGGAAGTGTATGTTTATTTATGAGTGCACATACTCGTAAGTTTGGTTTTTTTCCTAGATTGCTGGCACAAAGGCTGGTGACAGAGCAAATGAATAAAACCTTCCATTCTGAATGTTTCTAAATTGCATAATGATTTGGGAAAATATAACTTAATTTTAAAATTGATTTTTAGAGAATTTTCACCCATATAATTTCAGTGCACCTACATTTTTTCATGCTGAATCTGATACTGAAAAAATAATGCTGACTTTTGCATTGCAAGGAATTTACCAACTTATAGGACTCTGTTCATTACATAGCTTGTAGGGGATAAAGCTTTTAAAGATAGTTGAACTAAAAATTGATCCACCAGCATTTGAGTGATGAAATATGCTCAAGCAATTCCTGTATAAGGAGTTTGTAATAGTTTCAGTATTTCTACCTGAATATCTCCTTTTGGGGAGATACGAATTTGAATCTAAATGTGTTCTGCAGGTTTAAAAAACCAAATGAGTAATTTGTTACTACTCCCTGCAAAACACAAATTATGCATTTTTCTTAGTGACCCCTGGTGCTGCCTGAGCGATTTGTTGTGGTTTTGTTTGAAGAACTGATTTTCTTACCTAAAAACGTCCTGTTTTCTGGTGGTTTCATTATTATCTTCATCCTTGAGCTGGTCAGAACTTCTCCATGGTGTTGTAAACAGCTGCTTTCCACCAGGAGGCTGAATGTGTTTCAGTGGTAGATGAAGTGCTCCTTTGTAAACAGTTTGTCAGTGCTCTTGGAAATCCATGAACAGAAAAGTTATTTGCAGTAATATTGTGACGTTTTAAGTTTAATGCCAAAAGTATGATGTGTTCTAGTTTGAACATTTTATTTTGAAAAGGTTACTTTTGTCTCTGCACTTGGTAAAAATCTCTCCCAGTACACCAACCACCTGCTCATCCTGCAGAGAAATGTTTGCACTGTGCAAGGGAAGCTCTGAAAGGCACCGAAGGGAAGTGGTGTCAGGGAGTCAGAGTCAGGCTGACACATGGGATGACACCAGGATTGTCCCAGCTACCTGAGGGACTTGTGCATGCCTTTTTTACCCAGTAGCACAAAGGGAGGGAGTCTGCAGGTGCTGCATTTCTTGTCTATGGGAAGACAAAGTGGCACGTTTAAGTCTGTATAGACACACAAACTGAATTACTGAAATAGGGGCCAAAATTCACAGAATTACTTTTCGGACCAAAGGAAAATTTAGAAGGACACGGTATAAGTGAAGTTGCAAGATTGCCAGTGAAGCCCCTTCAAAGTTTTGGGGAACAGCTCCTTTTTGGAACAGTTCCTTATGGAATCTGCTTCTAATATGACTTACTCGGTAATAAAGTGTAAGTGGAAAAGTAGGCAGGAAAACAGTAAGAAGGTTCCAGTCTTATTGTCATCACTTAGTTTTAAATCTGTAGGGAAGTAGGGATGTTTCACTATGAGTTGAGTGTTTGGTGAATTTGAGTGACTTGTCAACAGGCTCCCTGACTAGTGCAGCTGCCACATGGAGGGTGAGGCTCCTGGCAGGGAGTTCCCTTCTTCTCCCACCCTCTTTCAGATGGCCTGTGCCTTCTAAGGCTCATTCTCCACATCTTTCCCTCTGCCCATGCACACTTGCCATGCAATGCCTCTGCATCACACTGTGCTTTGTCACGAGCTCATGGCGTGTTCCCTGGGCCTCCAGATCTTCAGCTGATGTTGATAAAGTGAACTGAAAAGCAATTCAGAGTTAGAGTGTAACATAGCAACCTGCCCTTTAGTTAGGGAGGCTGTGTAAGGTCAGAAACAGGAACGGCTCAAGAATAAATCCTGGTTCAGGTTTCCAGTTCCTGCTTTGCTCTGCTTCATTCAGAAGACAGTCAGTCATTTCATCCCATAGACAATCTTGTCATTTCATCCCTTTGCTTGCAGAAGCTCCATCTTCCCTGTGTCTATTATGACTAGGGACACAGGCTGAAATTCTGGTTTTTTTCTGTGCAAGATGGGATTGTGGGAATGAAATCTCATCCTTATCTCTGAAAAACAATCAGAAAATAGGATTTAAGGATTCTTTACCTGCTCTGAGTTATACAGGGCTGAGACAACCTAACTTCTTAAATTCTGACATGATAATTAATATGAACTTCCTTACCAAGGGATCACTTAACCATCTTACTTGATAATGAAACTTAGAATCTGTGCCTGCTAAGTTCAATAGCAGATTTTTCTTCTCTTGAGAAAGTCTGTTTGGGCTTTTTCTGCTTGGATGTATTTTGATGAAGGCATAACAGAGCTTATTTCCATTATTTTTCTCTGTGATGGTCCTAGATGAGAAGGCATTTTTGCAGTGTCTAGATTACGTGTACTTTTTAAAACAGCACCTATTGAGAAAAGAAAGGTTCATGATCTATGATATAAGACCATACTCATTGTTTAAAGATGACTGCTATGTTTCTGGTAATAAGAAGAGCAATGAAGAATGACCCCTAAGTATTCCAAACTGGTAATAAATGATAAGCAATTTTTTTACATTTCCATATTTTTAGCTAGTTTTTTTTGGGTTTTTTTGTTTTTTGTTTTTGGAAAGAGGTTCTGCTGTTCTTGAGCTGATGTAACTTTACAATGTGAATTACTTCATTGACATGCTGAAATAAGCTTGTTGTGTGTCTATGTCCAGGCACATTTTTCTTCAAAGACTAAAACTTGCAAAAGATGATAAATCAGTCATCTCAAACACTTGGATCTTGCCCTGGAAGTATTTTATGCCTGCTTCTGTCTTATTTGTTGTCTTGAAACAATGGTTTAGGGAGAAGAAAACATATAATTGCTCTGTAATTTCTACACTAAAATGTTTTCTTTTGAAGTAGCTCCGCTTAGCATGTAAAAATACTTCTGGGTCTTAGTCAAGCATTTAGTACAATTTAAAACTGCAATACTAAATTTCATTGGTTGGACTTTTTATTAGATAAGGTAGAAATGAAAGCAGCAGGCAATTTAATTAGCAGTAATTTTTCTGGGCAAGTCATTACTTTGATGAACTTCAGAGCAATGTTTATGGCTCCTAATTAACCATGTTAGTCATTTGATTGAATAATCACTTTGGAAATGTTTCTACAATTTGATTAGAGTCTGACCCACTCTGATAGTCATAAATTAACTGATAGCACTTTAGGATAACAAGACTCTAGTTACTTTACGAGAAATAAACTCTTCCTTGCTGTATTTTTTTGGTCCTCTGTGGACTGTTTAAGCACAAGCTAACCAGAAGATTAAGTAATGTTGGTACAAACAATGCTTGCCTTAAAGAGACTCCAGATGTTAATTAGAATTGACTTAGGAGTATGGGAGATGAAACCCTGACTTGGCTAAGAAGACAACTTTGTGGATGCATGCATAATTCTTTATTCAGTATACTCTGTTCTGTCACTTTGCAAGAGTGGAGTTCATGAGTCAAAAAGGGCTTTGCTGCCAATAGTAGAGAAGTTTTACCTAAAATAGAAAATAGCATCTGTTTCAGTTCTACAGCTTCCTCTTTTTTACGTAGATTTTTCCATTCTCCTTAGAATTCAATCTACTTGGTAACATGAATGATTCCTTGCAGGTGAAGCAGTGCTTGTAGCCTTGACTTCTAGTCTGCAGAGCTATGCTTGACTCTGGTGATCATTGAGTCACTGATTCCTGTGGCTGCTCAGAGTAGCTGCCTGAGACATTAGAGATTCTCTAGGCCTGAGAAGGCAGGCACTGAGTGTTTTACCGAGAGAGGAGGTAATGAAGAGTTTGGCACAGATGTGCAAGAGGGACCATGGACTGTTAGAGGAAACTTATTATTACTGCCCTGTGTTTCACTTGTTTGTGAAGTCAGTGTAAAACCTCATTTTCTTATCCTGCCAAATCTTTGATACTCATCACTAGTCAGTGAACAGTGAAATTTGGAATCACAGACTGAAAGAGTCTGTAGGCAGTGTTGGGAAAATAATGTCTGCTCTTTCGACCTCTGTTTGCATCTCTTAAAGAGTTACAAGTTACTGGTAACAGATTGCATACCTTAGGGTAGGAGTTCATCGCAAGATCAAATAGACTTTGTTAAGCAAGACTTTTGATATCCAAGAAGTAGGTTAAACATGGTCTAGAAGGGCAAACATTTACGGTGTGTTTCTGTTTGCAAGTCTCTGTGCACAGGATGTGACTACTTGGGGACAGTGCAAGACATGGGGAAGAAAAAGAAAGACATTTAAAGAACACGTTTTTCATTAGTTCTATTTGGCTTTTCTCTTTCTTCCTGCAGATTTGAGTAGAGGTGGAGAATAGCAAATAAATATCAGTATTACTTATATTATGCACAGTATTTTTTTTGGAAAGGAGTAATTTTTATTTTAAACACATTCAAGTGGAGAGTGATATAGATAGATCTACATTTCTAGATAAAATGCTTAGCAAGTGCAGAAAATTTCATTAACCCTTCAAGTCCTTAACCAGACTCTAAAAACATTATCCTACTCTAAATTCACTTTGATATTCCTTGTGTAAATGTAGAGTTTATAAGTCTCCAGTGTCACTGACAGTCTTTTCAGTTAAAAACTTTGGGTTGAACTAGTCACAAAGATAGATACACAAGCACAGGGTTTAAAATATTCATGGTCACTGGTGCTGATTATTTTGTGAATGGTCCAAAGTGTAATTGCCATGGGAGTCAGCTTTTAGCAAAGTTGATTACAAGAGGTTTGGAGTTCAAGTGCCTATCGTCGATAGGATCTGTGAGCCTCACATCATGTCTTTCTCCTTGGCCATGCTTGCTGCTCTGAAATGCATATGTGCTGCTCTGAAATGCTGTGTGTTGACAGGTTCCCTCTCACTGTAACTTGCATCCTTTTCTGTTGCTCTTCTGCTTGCAGCCTGTCCCATTGATAACTTGCACACTTTTAATTCCAGACAGTCTTCTGACTAGCATTGTCATCTTCTCCTTTCAGAAGTGCCTAGCTGCCATTCCATTTACATGAGGCAAGAAGGCTTCCTGGCTCACCCAAACAGAACAGAAGTTAAGTTTTCTATTATGTATCACTTTTGTATGAGAGAAATGCAAAAAAGTTTGAAAGTTTGGGGGTATTTGGGGTTCACTGGTTTAATTCTGCTGCTGGGAATACTTGCATCATCCTTCTTTCCCTTTTCAGTGTTGAGTTTCTGATGCACTGATTTTTTGTAGTTTCTTTTAGTGCCATGGGTTGATCAGGATAGAAGCAATTATATTATAAACTTAACTCATTCTGCTTTTCAAGGCCTCTAGCAGTTGAAAGGAAGAGACACTTAAAAATTTGTCTCTTTCACCTATTCTGCTCAAGTGATACTTTCCAGGCTGTTGGCATGACAGGCTCAGTTAACTGTGTTAAGTAATCCATTTTATACTTTTCAGTAAAGGTTTTGGTTTTTTCCTTTGGTTATTATTTTTGCAATGTTTTGATGTACTTTATGCCCAAATTGAGATATACCAAAATTCCCCATGATTTCAGTAGGACAGAGCTTACATGATTGTCAAAATTAAGAATTCCGAGTGAAAGCACTTTATATGTACTAAGGAGAAGTCCAACCAGAACTAAGATGACTGAAAGAGAGGTTATAGCCTCCACTGTACTGTTCTAGTTTATCTGTCTTAAGAATATATTATTTTCTGCTTGTTTCTTTAGGATTTGTTTTTCTTCCAGTGGGCAAATTTCAGAAACATGATGGAATCTGGTTTTGAGATTGATGAGAATCCAGATAGATGTGTGAATCAAAGTCTTCCAGGAAGACTTCATTTGCTAATGTAAAGACAGAATCAAAAAGATAACACATCTGGCTAAAATCCTGTTTGCTTCTGGGTTGAAATAAAGACAGAAAAAAAAGGTAGTGTTTAACAAGGAAGGTGAAACAGGGATGGAAATTTCTAAGTCTTATTATATGAAATTATATGAAGTATTTAAGGGAGGTGATAAGTGAGGTAAGAAACATCAGGAAAAATATAAACAAACTGCAGGGAGAAGAGCAAAAGATCTTGAGTTTTAACCACAGCACACATAGGGGAAAACCCATCTTAGCTGTGTTATGCTCTTGTAAGGAGTTGGAGGTGGCAAAATTTTCATGAATGATGTAAAAAAAGCAGTGATGTTTGCTAAATATTTGTTTTCTGTATTTGGAAATCAATCAACATAATTTTACAGAATAAAGGTCACGTCAAATCTGATTCTGTTCTTTGCTGAAGATAAAAGTTTGATTGATAAAGATGCTTGTATTGTATAGTTAGACTTTTTATGGCATTCAATTTGCCTCTGCATTACATTCTGATTAAGAAGTTAGCACGAAGCAATATCAATAGAGTACACATTAAATACATTAAGACCTGGCCAACTGACAGATCTCAAAGCGGCTGTCACCGGGCAATCATCTCTGAATGGATTATAGTTCTGTAGGAATTTATTTCAGGAGTGTTGCTATTCAATATTTTCAGTAAAGATATGGAACAAAGTTAATAGATAACTTCATGGCACAAAGATAGGGCAGTAAATAACTGGCAGGACAGGGCAGTCACACAAAGCAGTTTGAATTGTTTGGTTATCTGGGCACATTAAACAAATTTTTTTTTTTAATACATGAATGTAGGCTGGGCCTGTGGAACCGGGAAACAATATATTGGAAAAAAGGATTTTGAGAAGGGCCTCCTCCTCAGCTTCACAGTGGGAAACCAGCCCAACTGAGCACTGTAACCTTACGGCAAAAAGCCTTCTGTAATACTTAGGCAGTCAAAAGGAGGGTCAGAGGGCGGCAGGAGAGGAGGAGATGTTTTGTCTCACTCAGAAGCACTGGCGAGACTGATACTGATATGCAGTACAGTTCTGGTTAAGCAAAACATGAGCATAATAGGAAACAGTAGGAATGTGTACAGAAAGACGTGCTAGAAAGACTGCTGAGTTACAGATAGTGTCTTTTAATGATGAAATAAAATTTTACAAAATGATCTTAATTGGAAGGAACATCAAGAGCAGTGTGTGAGGGTGACTTGTGTGGGTAGGAGGAGGAAATACTGAGTGATACTTCTTTAGTCTTGCAGGAGGACCTGTAAGAACTAATGGTTAAATGTCAAAGCCATGCTAGTTCAAACAGGAAATGAGCAAACATTTTGTAATAAATCATAGAGAAAAATGGGTGCTTTTTCATTTTACCAGGTGGAGATTAACAGTCTCTTGGGAATGCATATGTTAATTAAACACCCTTGTACTTAGGCCAAAATGTTGGGATTGGGCAGTGTGTAAAGGATGTGGGATATTTATCTGATTCCTGTATAACTTAGTGTTCCCTCTGGCATTAAGCCTGCGATCTCTTTTTTCTCCATGCATCTTTTATATAAATATCTCTCTCTTTTTAACTTACAGGCTGTATGTATGAGAAGGGACCTAGGCAGTTTTATGATGACACTTGCGTTGTTCCAGAGAAGTTTGACGGTATGTATGACACATCTGTCTTTTTCCTGTGTAGAGAGATGAAAAAGAAAGAGATGAGGGACTTTTCTCTGTTGCTGATCAAAAAAGCCCAGTAACATTCCAATTTAGGATTCCTTAACACACCATTTGTGGTGCGTCCAACCAAAGCTGACCTTTGTCTCTTGAAACCAAAGTCTCCTCTTCAATAGGATGTCATTCAACTTTTGCCAGCAAAAGATGCTGCATCCAGACTTGTGGCAGAGGAGCTCAGTTCCTGTACTGTTGAGAAGTAATAAGAGGATTTCCATTGCACTGATGATCACATACTGCTTGTTGTTTGAGATTTAATGAAAGCTGTACTTATAATTAACAAAACAGTGGGGAAAGCAGCAGCTTTGGTTTTACTGAGGATTAAGCCTCTTGTCTTGCTGTCTACGAAGTGATGAATAGTGGGAAGTGAGTATATAGGGCATTTTTGTGTTTGTGCCAATGTATTTGCACTAGGTTGAATGTAGTAGTGGTTTATTTATCAGTGGGATTGATAACAAATCAATGCTCTGTTCACAACACTACCAATTACAGCAGATTTTTTAAAAGAGGAATTCTGAGGTCAATTAAAATGGATGTTCCAAATTATCCTCAGTTACTCTGACGTAAAATCAGTTTCCTGGTGTAACTCAGTTGATTTCAGATTTATTTCATTATAAGCAAAGTAGATGGACACTATTTCTTGCCAGTGACTCTGTTAGTCTGCAACTTTGGGAAGTAATTTAGAAACCAATTACTTAAATTTGCTAGAATGGCATTGTGGTTAGTGTATGCATGCTAGTGTAGTGTTGGTGTAGCTTTTGTGTTGGTGTGTGTGTGTCTGGCCTAATTTATTTCAGCAGGAAAGATTAGATATTTCCTGATAAACTTGTAAACAAATCTCTGACCACAGCTAAAAGTAGGGCTGGAGAATTGGTGGTTTTCTCCTACTTTATTTTGTTTGTTTTGTCCTGACACTCATTGATTACAAAACTATTGCATGTTTAGCAGCATTTGTTGTATTTGCTGAAAAATTTGAAACTCTGAAGTTAAAGTAACCCGGGGAATTTCACATTCTTCAGAGTATCACATGTATTTTTATGTTGGTAAGAAATAAAGAATTTTAGACAATGTTAGATCTAACTGAAGATTGCTCAATCCAGTATTGCATTGTCACGGTATTGATACAGTCACAGAAAGAGTGTTGTATTGAAAGTCTGCTTAATATCTTGGCTCTGTAATGTGAGCTTATTTGAGCTTTTTAAAATGTTTTTTTTAAAGCACATCATGTCAAGTATTTTTTTTTTTTGTTCTCCACAAATGATTGTGGAGCTGATCTGAGTAGCAGTGTCAGATTTATATGTACATTTATGGGAATGGGATCAGACCCTGTACTACAAGAAGTTGAAACTCGTTAACAGTAGCATTTATCTATGTCTTCCTTGAAAAACCTTTTGGTTAATTTTGGTTTTATATGGCAAAGGGAATGAAAATGAATAAGAAATACAAATACAGTAAAAGAAATAAATGTTGAGAGGTATTTTTGTGCCTGAAAAGCAAGCATTCTGCTGCTAGTTTCGATGACTGCCTATTGAGAGAACACCTTGTAGTCTAGAAGATTGATCTCATCATGCAAATAGGTGTGTTTATGCTTGCAGCATGTTTTGAGGGAAAAACAGTAGATGTGTCATCATATTATGGCCAGTAAAGTAAAAGTTGGATGAGCCCAGGACTAGTCTTGATGTTTCAGAAGTAGATTCTCAGCTGCTTCATTTGAAATCAAAGATCAGCACAAGGAAAGAATTTGATCCTGTGTAATACTGCACTTGATATTTGCACATTGCTCAGCTATCATTACAAGAAAAAAACCTGTCCTTGAAAAAGGAGGACTTTCAGGACTGGAACTTGAACCTCGCATAAACCAAAAAGCCTTGTGTTGATTTATTTGTTTTCTACAGCTATTGAGTCAATTTTCTTTCCTGATTACAAAAGGAAGTGCTCCATTTTTAATATTATTATTCTGCCTTTCACTACACAGAGCCATTCTGTAATGGCTGTCAGAGCATCCTAATGTTGTGGTAGAATGTAAATTCCTGACTTCCCTTATTAAACAAGTCACACTGTTTATTGGAGGCTTTTCCTGTTCTGATAATTGAAATGAGGAATTTTACCAGTATATCTAAGATCACAATCCTTGTGTGGAGAGAAAAATACTGTCTGCTTCAGCATCAGACCTTTCAGCTGTTGTTGTTTGTATGAGTTGTTCAGTGTAAATTTGATTTAAAACAACAAAGACAGTATGGATGTAGTAGGATAGTTTTCTCATTGGCAATTTGTGAAGCAGCTAGTAGAATGTTATTGATATTTTTTAAAAGGTTTTTCTAGACTTAAAATTTTAGAAAAATTAACTTAATGTTTTTCAGAGGGAATACTAATTTAATATGTAGATATGAATAAAAGTAATTTTTTGCTCATATGCAAGTCCAGTATGCCACAGAGGAACTCACGTATCTGCAGGATTTACATGCCTATACATAAAGCGCATGCTGTTTAAGTCCAAGTCAAATACTTTGTCAACTTTTCCTTAGAAGCATTTGCATGCAAGAGAAGTTTCACTCCATAGGGTTTTACAGCTTTGTGAAGCCTACATTACTTTACCAACACTGGGACCTGTGCAAAGTATAGTACACAAACAGGGTTCTATCAGGGTTGCTTCAAAAATAGTTTATGTTCTTTCAGAGAGGATATTATAAAATGGTTTGCAAGAGATTTGCATTTATCAAAACTACACGGGGAGAGGCTTAGTGAGACTTCCATAAATCGTGAATGAAATTAAGTGCTTTTTATTGTATTAATATGTTATTGTAAGTCCCCAGCAAACAGGGCAATGTTGCATTTGAGGGTGGCTGATTCTTCCCTCTGTTTTGTTACTCCTAATGATTGCTTTGCCGGCTTATCTGACCGAGGAGTGATGGTGCTCCAGGGCATTGCTCCTGTGACATTGTTGCTGTTGTGATGTGTGCAGGTGATGTCAAGCAGGAGCCGGGCATGTACCGCGAAGGACCCACGTATCAACGGCGAGGCTCGCTCCAGCTCTGGCAGTTCTTGGTAGCTCTTCTTGACGACCCATCCAACTCTCACTTCATAGCATGGACTGGCCGAGGCATGGAGTTCAAGCTGATTGAGCCAGAGGAGGTGAGTTAGACACGCCCTCCCATCCACTGCCCCATCCTGCAAATTTAACTGTGCTCCTTTGGACTTAGGCCTTATTTTCCTCCAATATTTTGCTTCAGTAGTGCTGTAGAAGGGTGACAGAAAGGACTGGCAAGGGAAGTTCTTCAGTTAGGACAGAGATATGATGAAGCATAGATTTGACTCCTAGTCCCATAAAATAATAAAAGTGTTGCAAGTACTAGAGTTAGTAAATAGTTCTTATTGATTGTGGGGTCCATATTTTTCAGAATCATTTTGTGGATGGAACTGCATTCCAAAATCCTTTGAAAACTTGTCCCTTACTAGTCTTTCAACACCAAATATTAGATTCATTAGATTGAATCATTAGATTGTTTAGTACAGGCTTAGATCCTAGGCTTGCAAATGGCTCATGCACATGCATGGCTCTTCTGAACCATGAAGGACTCATGGGGTAGATAAAATTACTTATGAACATTTGCTGAAGCGTGGCTTAGTTCACTTGTGTGATAAACAGGAATAAATTGAATGTTTTATTACGTAAACTGTTTTGGACTAGGTAATGTTATGTAACCTAAGCCTGCACTCTAAACTATCATGGAAACTGTTGGAAGATCAGGTATATGTGAATTTTGTTGTGAAATTCATCGATATGGAGGATTTAATTAGGGTTGTCAAAAGGCGGTATCATTCTGCTTTACTTTTTTGCCCCTTGAATAGGGTCTTCTAATAGAGGAGACCACAGCAAATTTTCTGACAGGATCCCCTCTGAGTTAGAGCTGAGTGGGAAGACTCGGGGGTGTATGGCTGTTTGTGCATTCCACCAGCTATTTAGCTATTTCTGCTGTTTGCCAACCAATCTACTGTCATCAGCAGTCTGAAAGCTTTCTTGCACATTACTTACATGGTCTGCTAACAGCTCTATGGAGATCCAGCTGGAGTAGCTGGGGATGGTGTCAGGCGTTCCCTTTCCTTCCCACATGGTCTGGCTGAGGAGCAGGTTGCTGCAAGGACCCCAGTGCTGGCTCTCCTTTTTCTGAGCACCCCCTGCTCTAGTGATAGTCACTGTGGCAGGTCCTGACATTGTGGATCTGGGGATTTGAACTCAGAACAGTCTTAGTCAGTGTGATACTGAAACTTTGCTGGCAAGTCTGCAGCCTTAGCAGGCTACATGGATTCCTTAGCTGTGTAACCTGCCCCAGAACAGAACTTTGGAATGTCTTTGGTTTGGTTTTGGTGGATGATGTACATTATTTCCTCCCCTACCCTAGTTCTCATCCTTTTTACTCTTTTAGCTTTGTCTTGTCTTGAAGGTATGTCCAATTTTTTTCAAGATTGAAGAGTTTTATTGAGAAATGGTTTCCAGCAGATGGTGCAAAAACTTTATAGATTTTATTAGCTAAGGAAAGGAAAATAACAACCCCCTAAGGTTTCCTTATTGTGTAATTCCCTAAAGAACTAGATATTCTAATTTAACTTAAAGAGATCATCTGCATGTCTGGCTGTGTAGAAGTGGCTTTGTGTTTTTGAGCAGCATTGCATCCAAGATCTGGAGGAGGCTTAAAGCTTGCCTCACTCTGTGTGTTCCTAGGAGTACAAAGGAGTCTAAGTTGTTTTCATATGGATGTCATGAATCTGACAGAAACAGGCAATTAAAATAAGAATAGCCTATGGGAAGTTGCACAAATCTGTTGGTTGCCAAGTGTAAATTGAAGGGAAATCAAAGAGCTAGTTGGTTCTGCTGTGGCAGGTTAGGATGTCAGTGACATGACCTTTCCATCCATTCCTTACTGGAGGTTTATGCCCTCGTAGAAAGAGTGACAACAAAAATGAATATGTATCAGCTCCTGGAGTGCCATAGTTCATTCAGAAAGTAAGTAACTGTGAACTGTGGAGCCTGAGAATTGGGCATAGGTCCATTTGTCCAGGCTTGTCGCAGGGACAGCAACCTTCAGCAGGAAGGTAGGGTAGAAGGGTAGAAGCCTGAATCTCTTCCACAGAGCAGAGCTAGGTATATGCTATGCATTCAGGGATGGGAACTGGACCTGATTGCTTCTCTAGGAGTGTCAAAATACCACACAATGTAACATATTCTTTACCGTTACTTGTTGTTTATCTTTGCTGTGTATTTATTTATTTTGCAAGCCTGTTATGTTGGGGACTTTTAAGACTCCGATTAATGCGAAAAAAAAAACCTTGGAAGGAATAAAAAAGGAGTCATGTGGTCATGTGTTACAAAAATGAATAAGTGAATCAAAGGCATCTAGGCCAGATCTGCAGCTGTAATAAATTTACATGATTGGAGGTGTATTTCAGTACAGCTAAAATATAGCTGAAGTTAGCAGAGCCATGATAATTTACATAAGCCTGAAAAGCTGCATCACTGAAAGGAAATAATGCTTTCAAAAGAAATTTTAGAAATTATTTTCCAGGTGGACACTGAAATCATGGATTTTGCTCAGTGCTGCATGTTGTCGTGGCTTGCATCAAAAAGCTCCAGACACCTACGGGAAGTTTTGCAGAGCAGTCTGCAGAGAAGCTGCTTGGCTACTCTTGTCGTTTTTCCAGAGCTCTGTGCATATGCACCTCTCAATCATTTTTATAAAATGTGCTTTAAAGAGTTCATCAGCTCTGCCTTTTTTTCCCCTCTGGTGATATTATAGTCATTTTTACAGACAGTAATTGAAATGTCACCAATAGCCGATTAAATTTCAGGCGAGGAATAAGAAGTTAAGCTCTTTAAACAAAGGGTCGCTTTGTCCAAAACTATCTTTAGCAATAAAACAGGAAGCATAAAGTCAAGTAGAAAACATAAGTCAGAGAAGAAGGCATATTGTTCTCTATGGAATAGTTTCATGAGTTACTTGTAATTCACTTTTTATTGTTATTTTTAAGGGAAATGATACGACTGAAACTATGATATTTCTGTTCCAGTTTTCATACCACCATATAGTTCTTCCAAGCAATTATTCTGCCTCCTCAGATATATTTTTTTTTTTGCTGAGGTAATGTTTAAGACTGGGAGTTGTCTTTTGACTCGTATCTCCTAATAATTGCAACATTGCTGTCATTCCAAGTACAGTCTGTATTAGTTCATGACCTAAATGTGTATGCATGTGTGTTTAAAACAACTCTTTTTTTCAGACAGCAAGGAAAAGGCAGACACGGTATAATTATCTATAGTATCAAACTGAAGAAAAGTTTCGTGAAAGTTTTCAGGTGGAACTTACTAAATATTTTTGTCTGTCATCTCTTTGTATGGCTTCATTTTTTCATTGGTTTTCTTTATCAAAAAGCAAAGAAAAACCCTAACCCTCCACCACATAGTCCAATAAGTCTGTTTCAAGTTTAATGATGATGTACATCCAATTAAAATTCATAGCAGAATTCATGGGAAGTTCAGGTCATGGCAACTTTTTCCTATTTGTTGCACCTGCAGGGTTTTCTCTTCTGCATCCCCTACTAAAGTATCTGATGATAAGATCTGCTTGTTAAATGCATTTAACAAATCATTGCTCATCCATTTTTGTGGCAGGTGGCACGTCGCTGGGGGATTCAGAAAAACAGGCCAGCTATGAACTATGATAAACTTAGCCGATCGCTTCGCTACTATTATGAAAAGGGAATCATGCAAAAGGTGAGTAGCTAGTTTTGTATTACATTTCACCAGAGTCTGGCTTGTTAATCCATCGGTCAGTTTACAAGGAGTACTTGTAATTGCATGGCTCAGGTAGTTTTTTCATCTGCTTAGGCAAACACCAAGCTTTTGGACTTACTAGGTCCAGCATATGCATTAAGATTTTTTTTTTTAATATGTAAAAAATGTCTGTGGTTTTAGTTCACACAATGCATTTCATGATTATAAGGAAAGAAGGAATATTCAAAAATATCCAAAAGAGCTTCCTGGCAGCTGGGAAAGGCAAACGGTAGAGTACAGTATGATTAATGTTTTGCAGATCTAAATTAGCTGCCCAGTGCTTGGGTACTTTAGTAAGTGCAAGATAGGGGAGAATAATTATACCTAATAACATACCAAGTACTTTAATATTTTTACCACTGGTGGTGTAGTAATACTGTTTTTGAGTGGAATTTAATGGACTGATTTAGAAGAAATATTTAACAAGAATTTATATATTACAGGCTAGTCTTGCTGACAGTATTCAATCCATCCTCCTATTGTGGCTTGCTGATTTGTAAATCTTGCTGTGTAGTACCTAGTAGATTGACTGAGAAATCAATAGTAGAGACCAGTCTGCTGTATCTACAAAATTGCCAAGGGTGATCAAAGATTGTAATAAATACCTTGGACTGCAAAACTTATTTCATGTCTTTTCACATTGGTCTTGTGACCACTGATAATGAGCATGTTTAATCTTGTCATATGTCAATTCCATGAATGGAAACAGTGATCTAACAGTGATCTCAGCTCAAGTTACTGGGCAACTTTTCTAATAGGCTTTGTGAAGTCTTACAAGTTCTCTTTCTTAGATTATGGGATTGCTGTAGTGCACTTCTTTTTCACTACCAGTAGTCAACTTGGACAACAATCTGGGCTAGTATTGGCTTAACAGTTCTTCAGTAGCTCAGCACCTCATGCATTTTTGTGTGTCATGTAACTGTGCTGAGTCTTTGGAAAGTGGATTGGAAACTGGGTCCGATCAGGGAGAAGCAGCAGCACTTGGTTTTGCTGACTGGTGCTTCAGGCAGAGGAGTTCCCTGTTGCAGGTTACAGCTCAGCAGCATAGGCAACTCTGCTGCCAGCACACTTCAAAGGCAGCACGGGCAAAAAAAAAGTAGCAGAGTGAAGCAAGTTGAAAAGGTGGGGATAGAAATACCAGAAGGCTGATAATGCTGCCCCAACCCACCCACACATCCATTTAACATGGAAAGTTTACAAGGACTTTTGACAGCTAGCTTGCTGCATTCTAAACTACTGCTTTATTATCTACAAGAATGTGTTTAACACAGGTTTTGGAAGCTAGCTTGCACGCTTACTTTTCTGACATAGCAATGTTTCAAGTTTGTCCAGGTATCACACTATCTGGCCAGTTCGTATATGTTAAAAACTAATGAAGGTTGTAGATGCAAAGCAGGTTTCTTTATGGCAAAGTATGTATGTATATTTTCCCTCCTTTTTTTTTTTTTTTAAATCAACAATGATAGCAGGTTATGCAAAAGCCTGATTTCTGAATGCAACCTCTAGTCTATCAGACTTGCTGACGTTAATTTGTTTTTAAAAATTCTGCTGCAGATACAGTCCCTACCAAATTCTATTTGTAGAATAAATAAACTGACAGATTAAAGAGGTGCTTCAAACTATTTTGCACCTATAAGAGGAGAGTTGTTAAGTTTGCAACACTTTTTATGTGTTCACTAACTCACTTCATTGCTATGGTAGCTAGAGTTGCAAGAAGCAGACAATATGATTTTTATTTTTAAAAAAAAATAATAAATTGTGAGCATGCAACCTAATGCATATTTTAAAGCACAATTTTTAAAATAAGGTACCTGAGAAGACACTACATTGACTTCCGTTTGTTGTTTGTAATAAGAGAGCAATTCTGTGTTGTTTTTATCATTCTCCAGCTTTTAGGAAATTGAAGCATAGACATTTAAGGCTGTTTCTGATTAAGGGAAAACTTTAGGATCTTTGCCCCTCCATAAGCAAATCCCAGCTTTGCATGAGCAATTGTTAAGTACATATTAGCCTACGTATTTGCTTACGCTGTCCCTGTGCAATCAGCATGCACTATAACTAAAGTGCTTTTTTATGTAAGTATGAATCAATCCGTGTAAAGTGAAATCCAGGTCTCTGTCGTGCAATGTGATTCTTTTTTCCACTTCGCACACAGAGTGTGTAATTTTATTTTGCCACTGTAGTGACAATTTGTTTACATTTTCCAATAAGAACAGTTCCATTTGTGGTTAAGTATAGGAAACGATTGCAAACAAATGTTTAGAAGTAGAATACTTAGTTCATCTTCCAACAGGATGTCACGTGTGGCAAAATCAAGAGCATTCTGCACAGTCTGCTTTGGCAGGTCCCACTTGTCTTTGCTAGGTCACTGCCTTACCAGCTCTGCTGTCACATTATTAATTGTGTAACAAAGGTGAATTCTCTACAAGACTGTTGAACTTGGAGTTGCAAAACACGAGGCCTTATGCTGCACCTTTTTTTTCCCCCTTCTGTTGTCCTAAGGTGGCTGGAGAAAGATACGTCTACAAGTTTGTTTGTGACCCTGAAGCGCTTTTCTCCATGGCTTTTCCCGACAACCAGCGCCCCTTACTGAAGACTGACATGGAGCGCCACATCAATGAGGAGGACACTGTGCCTCTGTCCCACTTCGATGAGAGCATGGTCTACATGCAGGACGGAGGCTGCTGCAACACCCACCCCTACAACGAAGGCTATGTCTATTAACAGCACTGACACTGAAGGGGTGTTTCTCCCTCCCCTTAAGCTTCTCCTCTTTCCCAAGACCCAGAGGAAAGCTGAATCGACTTCAGTTTGTTTTTTAAATAGTACACTAAAAGGGGCTTTTCCTGTTGCATTACTCCTATGGTCTGCCATGGACAGCGCACTTTATTTGAAAGGGGAGGGTTGGAACCTAAATGTTATTCTGTGTAAAAGGAGGAGAAGGGTGGGTTTGCTTTTTACTTAAGTTTGGGAAGGGAACATACAGGTTTTAAGTACAAAAAAAAGCTATATCATGTCTGTTTTGTTTCATATCAGCATAAGATATTGTACATTTTCTCTGGGTATCCGTAGTACAGTTAATTCTCATTGTGCAAAATAACCACTTTTGATGATGATATCAGCACAGCATGCCTAGGGCATTTGTCTTGCCATTCTTAATTATCTTTCTGCAGTTATAAAAGAGAAGCAAATCATATACCACAGCATTTAATTTAGAAGTTTCCAGTGGCAGATCTTGTACCTTGCCTCTGAGAACAACCAGATAATTCTCCTAAGGTGGTTTCTTTTTTTTTAATTTCTTCTTTTTGTTTTTGTTTCTTTTGTGTATGACCTCAAAAAAAAAAAAAAAAAAAAGGCGCTATTTAATGACAGACTAAGTACAGTGACCAAGCAGTGAAATCCCTGACTTCAGACTGCAAGCTGCATTCTGTATCTGGTGCCATATTGTTATACATATATGGCCCATATGGTATGGCGTTGATTTTTCAAGATCCATTTGAGGGTAGTAATTACATGGAGTAGGCTTTCTGACGATCATGTCAGCATTAAATACAGGATCATGATCAGGAGGGAGAAAACATTTTGTATCCTTCCATTTCCTTTGGTACATAAATAAGTTATTTAATCAATAGGAATTAACTGTACTAAGTCACATATCTAATTATGCTGTTTAGACACAGCAAGCACTCCTTGAGAAAAATATCCAATACACTAAATAGGTACTTTAGTAATTTTTAGACACGGTACCCATTAATATGCATTTAAACCTTTTACTGCTGTGTTATGTTGATAACATATATAAATACTAGATAATGCTAATGCTTCTGCTGCTGTCTTTTTCTGTAATATTCTCTTTGATGCTGAATTTACTATGACCATTTATAAGCAATGCTGTAACTACAGGTAGCATTTCAGGACAAAATAGATGACTTGAACCATTTATTGCTTAGAAAATAGCTTACGCCATAGCTGTGCTATAAGCAGCTTTTATGCGCATCCACAAATGACTAGTAAGCTTCAGCTTGCTAAGGAAAGCTCTGCAGAACCTTTTGTAATTTTTGGTGGAACAGAGATGAACTGTCAAAGAATACCATGAAGTTGCTGTATGATGTTGTAGTGCTGGCACTGGTGTTACCAATCAACTTGTTTTGGACACTAAATGTAAATGTGATCAGATATGCTCAGAAGACAATTTAAATTTTGAGGGGTTTTTTTTGGTTGCTTTGTTATTTTTTCAAATTGTTTTATTTTTTGAGAGGGGTTACCTTGAATACAAACATGTGCTATTCTGTATGTAAAACAAAAACAAAAAGTGGCAAAACCCCAGAAGTTTAAAATATTTATGAGCACCTTTTTTGAAATACAATAATTCATAGTCTGAAGGGATGGAGAGAGAGGTAAGAATTGGATCTCATTTTGCCCAGTGAAATTTAAATAGGTACTATATGAAGTACTTCATTTTCCTAGATTGTCAAGAAGTGGGAGAAAAATATATACATAAACATAAAAAAACCAAGAATTATTTTCATCATAATGAATGGATTTCAAAGACAGTCCTAGGTGGTGGGTTAATCTTCCATCCTTTGACAGTTAAGACACTACTTAAGTTATGAATATTTTAATACACATTTAATCAAAAGTAAAGAAGTAGTGGTCACTAGAAACCACAGGTGCATAAAAAGCATTTGGGCAGGTATTTAATTTACCTAGATCCATGAGACAACATATTTTATGATATATGCCTTAATATGCCACCTAATTCTGTCATCCATAGGTCTCAATGGCACTTAAATATTTGGTAATCAACTGAGAAAAAGAAGCCTAAAATTGCAGAACTAGCAAAAAGGAAAGGGAAAATGTTGAGTAATATTGTTTAAAAAATTGTGGTTCCCATTGAAATAAGGTTCAAATGAAACATGCTTTGATGAAAAGTCCTTGGATTGGTTTTGGTTCTTTAATGTCAGCACAGAGCGCCTCTTGCCTGTGGCAGGATGTGGGCATTTGGGAAGGGGGTTGGACAAAAAAAAGGAAAAAAAAATTAAAAATTGCATCGAATGTGTAATATTTAAGAAGAAAAAATATATTTATATCTGTATACGGTAGTGACTCACTGAACAAAACAAGCAGTCAGACCAACATTACATGATCTCTCAGCAGAAGACAAAAAAGTCTTTCACTGAACTGATTAACCCTTTTTAAAATGTACCTAAGAGGTTTATTTAAAGTCTATTTTTATTCCACTTTTTTGTTTGTTTGGGGTTGGGGTTTTTTTTGGTTTTTGGTTTTTTTTTTTTTTGGTTTGGTTTGTTTGGGGGTTTTCAGGTAGAATAATAAATCTGGCAGCTGATTTCTGCAAGATTGTTGTGTATTGGATTCCTAACCATTTGATTTGGAGAGGTCCCCTGCAGAAAGGTTATTCTTTTGGGAGAGGAGAGGATGGTCTGTCCCCAGTGCCTGGAATGGCTTGCTTCAAAGTGCAACGAAAAAAGAAAAAAAAAAAGAATGGGTTAAAAAAAAGGTGAGGAGCATGTACAATTCAAGTGTATGTATATATGAGCCAGGAGTCAGATTACCAAAGCAGTACATTGTACAGTACAAATACACTCATTGCATTTTACTGACAGAAGGGAGGAGGATGGTCTGTGTATATTTTGGGATTGATTCCTACTAAGAACACTTACACATTTTCAGAGGGCATTTAAATACCCTACAGGATTTGAATGTGGGATGTTTGGGGCTGGGGTAAGGGGGCTGGGTTTTCATTTGGTTGATTTAAGGGTATTTTAGTTTTGTTTTCAAGCTGTACCACAAGTGCAGGGAATATGCAGCTTTCACTTGTTTTTAGTAGGAGCTGTAATAGAATGAGCTTGTCTCTCCTCGTCTGTCTCTGTGCTGGGCAGAGCAGTGGGGCAGACACGGTAGAGGTGGGGTGAAGCAAAGCTGGGAGGCATCCCTGGAAGACCCAGCCCTGGAACAGCTGAAAGGGCTTAGGTTTCATGTGCCATCACAGATCACTTGCACCAATAGTGGAGCACAGGTGAAGTTAGTGAAGGACTTGGCAGATTCCCTTAGAATACATTTGAGAGAGTTAGCAAGTTTAGGTTTTTCTTTAGGGATATGACTTCCATGGCAAAGAGCCCGCCCCTTTCTCTCCAAGGTTACACCAGTCTAACTTTCTTACACACCAGTGACAGGGCAAACCTTAACATTACATTCACTGAAAGAGCAAATTTCATCTGCTTCTCAGACCAAATCTGCTTGTTGTACTGACAGTGGTCTGGTGAGGTTACTAGGAGAAACTGGGATACATATGTTTCTTTTCTCCAGAAATTCCCTGCAAAGAACCCTTTGCTCAGAATCTTTTCATCGTTGGGATTCTCTGCTACCTGGGCCTATTCCCAAGGAATTAATGCTTCGAGTTTTATTGCCCTTGACATCTGACTGGGTTGGGCTTCACGTCCATCTTCACAGGACAATATAATCTATTAAATATTTTTGCCTTCTTTGTGGTTTTTTTTTGTTTGGTTGGTTTTTAATAGCAGGAAACAGATCAATGTGTGCAAAAGGTATTATGAGGAAATCTTTGAGTTGTTAATGGCTCTACTTGCTCCTGAAGAGCATTAGCTTCAGTTCATGTATTACAGGTAATAGCACCCATAAACAGCCCTATTCAGTGCACACATTAATAGTACTTTTCTAAATAGTCTCCTTCAAAGATTTTTTGGGAGTCTTAATTAATATGGTATCGTATACTCTAAGAATCATCACTTTGGAAAATTCCAGTAACATAAGAGCCTAGGATCTAGCAATAAGAGCCTAGGAAATTAATTTCTCAGTTTTCTGCTTATGTGAGGATTTTTCTGTTGTGTGTTTGAGATTTTGTTTGGGTTTGGGGGATTTTTGGGGGAGTTTTATTTTGTTTTTTGTTAGTTAGTTTGTTAGTTGTTAGTTTGTTTTTATTTTGCTATTTTGGTTTGTTTTTTGGGTTTTTTGTTTGGTTTTTTGGATTATTTTGGGGTGTTTTTTTGCAGGGAGGGGGCAGTTTTCTGGTTTTCTTGGTTTGGTTTTATTTCAGAGGCTACTTGCTACTCTACTTGGAAAGGAGGTAGCAGCTGAGGGCAGGTGCCTCTGCCTCAGAAACCCCAGTTCAAAGTCCACTGCATTTTGCTAAGATACCAGGCTGAGAATTGGAGCATCTGCAATACAGCACTGAGCCCTGCTCTCCCTGTGCTCTTACAGAAGAGGGAACTACAGTGCACTGTCTTTTGTTTCTTCTGCTATGAGAGCAGTAATCTCTGGCAGAGGAGCAGGATGGAAAGCTGGGGGCAGTAGCACTTTAAAACTGCAGGATTACCCATATCTGTCTGTGCTGTCCCTTACCTCCCAGCTTTCATGATTGTAAGTAGGTAAAGTTTGCTTCAGTCTTCAGGAGGTTGAAATATTGGTTTCCTCCCTGAACACCAATTTAATTTCTGTGGGAAGGAAATAGCTGTGCCATCTTCTTATGTAATAGTCTGAAAATGTCTATGAAGTGTCTTGTTGACATTTTCCCAAAGAACTTCTTTTGTGTGAAAATGCCATAACACACATCACCAAAAGAAAAGGGTAAATAAACTTCAAGAAGTTATCCATACATCAGGTTCTCCAAAGCTATAGTAGTATTTACTCTAGCAATGTATCATGTCTTTAATACTGCTGTATTGTCCTTATTATATAGTTTCATTGGACTGACCTCAAAAATACTCGGTGTACCTTGAAATTTTGTTCGTTTTAAACGACCTTTTAAATGAGTTACAGGAAGGTAACCCTGAGGCAGGGTAACAATCAAGCATTTGGATCTGGTAAGCCATAACTCTGTGTCTTTGTCTTTGCTCTTACAAAGCACGTATGTCCATATAAATGCTTTTTAGTTGTGTGGTAGAGAGGTAACTACAGCCACTGGCTGGATTTGGGGGGGGTGAGGTGGTTTGGTAGTTTTTGATATCTACGACTGGCTTTGTTTCAGAAGGAATGTCTATATGTATTACTTTCCACAATTACTTTCCAAGTAAGCAAGTAGAGAATTGGTGTCCAAAATAGCATTTTTGCTGTGTAATTTTCAGTAGAGGCTATGGTATTTCCTTGCTGTTGTCCTGAAAAGGAAAGAGTTGAGGAGAATTCACCATTTTCTTTTCCCCTCCCTTCAGTGATAGGACCCAGCTGATCGACCTGAAGATAGTTTAAGCCAATTCTTCAGTCTCTCATGATATTTTAGTGAACAGTCTGCTCATCAGTACAGTGGCACTTAGTAGAAGCTTGTGTACAGAGTGCTGAATATTTTAGATGTACTGCAAAAGGCTTTCTATGGTGACTTTCAGTCAAAATCTTGCATGGGCAGTGGCATATGGCTATGCCACCTAAATAGAGGCAGTGAGAGATTTTTTGTAGAGGCACCAGCTCCTCAGAGCTTGAGACATTTGCTGAAATCTGCAGTTTAGGCTGTTTCCTGGCCAGCCAGAGTGAGCCTGCCCTGGAAGATCTGGCGAGGAGCTCTGTGTGTATGTAGAAGACCAGAGAGAGCATGATCCCTGAATGCTTGAGTGAGGAAGCACAGAGATGGGAAAAAGTCTGTCAGGGGCAATCTGGCTCTACCAAGTAGCTATTCCAGAGCTGATTAGTACAGGAAGAAGGAGGTTATATGACCGATACAGTAAATCACAAAGATAATTATTTGAACGACATGCTGCAGGAGAATCATAAGAAATGATGGAAAGTAATAAACTCTGTAAACAGCAGTGATTTTTTAAGACCCTAGTGCTTGTGGGAGTGCTTCAGGAAAAGGAAGAGAGAAAGTAAAACACAGAAAGGGATGATAACATTAGACAAGGACAACAGGAGTCAAACCATGGACTGCATTAGGGGACTTGGAAGATTGCAGTGTTTTAGATAAAAGGAAGGGACTAAGATAAGTGCAGAGTCAGTACACTGAGATAAGAGCAAGAGAGAAAAGGTAATTGGAGGCAGTGCACTTTGTGGTCAGTGGGCCAAATGTGTTAGGCTCAGAGCTGCACTGGGGATGTGGTTGGCCTTGGTAGCATATCCCCAAGAACAGGAATATCGGTTCTGTCTTTGGAGGGATTCTTGATTATTTAGTAAAATCGTCTGCACAGTGTTCGGTAGTTGTTAAAAGAGCAAACAAGATACTGGAATATGCTGAAAATGTTTGGGGCTGTAAACGTAATGTCTTTTTCATCCCACTGCACTAAAAAAGAACCCAACAAAAGCCACAAACACAAAAAAAAGAATACCTTTCAAAAAAATGGGGCAGATTGTGGATTGGTATAACTCAAGCTTGGTTTCCTTGAAATCAGCTATGTAGCTTTATGTTAACAGAGACTATAGCCTGTATTTGGTAATGTGTATGCCTGTCTAGCATAGTATATACACAGGACTTTTTTACTTGTTGCTTTCTACAGAAAGATATACAAATGATCAAGACCTGGGGCATAGCATGACACCAATAATAAAACATGAAATGAAACAAAAGTACATGTCTTCTGAATTCTACTGATGTAGACAAGTCATTTTGTATAAAGCCCTCTGATGGAGCTCTATACACACCTCTAATCCTTGCAAGTAACTTTTTTGACCAATGCTGGCAGACTCTGTGCTGGAGTCTCTGCTCCCAGTGGATCAGCACTAGTCTCTACAAAGGTATCTGGGATTTGTAGGGCCAGGCTACCTGCCCAGCTTGTCACAAAGACCATGTCACCATTTACAAGTCTTTAGGGCTGCACTAAGCTTCCAGCCATTCTCTGTATTAGCAAAAATCAGGTACATTGCAGATGTAGCCAGAAAGGCTAGACCTACAAAGGAATATACCTTTGGCTACAGATGACTCAGGTATACCTGGACGTGAGTATTTGAAATGAAGGCCCAAATTTCTATTGGTAC